AGATTTTGTTTGATTTTTGTTTTTATTTCTGAAAATTATTTTTTTTCCTTTTCAAATTGAAGTTGCCATCCTACCAAACCAAGCCCTTATAGCATGCTGTTTAAACCCTTCTAGCATGTTATTTAATGTTTCAATCAACTAAATAAAGTGACATAAAGTGGCTTTCTTTTCGCTAAGAAGTGACATAAAAGAAAAAATTATTGAACTTGTACTTAGAGTGTATGCAGTTTGAATTTTTACTCTTCACTCTTAATTAATATTTTTTTATTAATATAATTATTTGACTAAAAAAATATTACTCAACAATAATGAGTAAAAATTCAAACCTTTTATCTCATGGTTCGTAAAATAAGATTTGGTATACGAAAAACTGAATTAACATGTGAATATTTTATTTATTTATTTATTTATTTTGCTAAAAGAACAATACTGTATACTATGTATACATTTTCCCCACTCATAGATGGGACCCTTTTGGTTTGTAAATGGCTAGTACTCTTAAAAAGTTCTGCATATTTCATGTGGATTTCAAATGGACATCATTGAGGGTGAGAATATAAGGAAAAACAAGTCCATGTCTAATATGTCCTTCTTGTCCTGAAGCTAACAACCCAAGCTCGGATAAGAGGTGAAGAAAAATCATGGAGTTCCTAAAAAAAGACAAATCCAAACAACCGTTTGGGGTCTTAGGGAAAAATTGAAATGATTTCATTGTGGAAACATTGGGAATCAGATAATGTAAAAACAAAAGAGGGCAATAGTGATGTGTTGAATATTGAGAACCCAGTACCCCAATACCTTTGATGAAGAGATAATTGAGAGGAATCATATTGTTTGATTGACCCATCGCTCAAAATCATTGAAAAAATGGTCAATTTACTATGTGCCACTTTTTGACCCTCATTTCTTTTTCTCATTTTCATTCCTCTAATAAAATGAACATTCAAAAGGGTTGAATTATTTTCATTTTCATGAGACTTTTTTTTTTTCCCTATTATGACTTGAAATACTGAAATTCTAGTTAAACTTATCGAAATGAAAATTAATATGTTGACTTAATCTCTTCAAATGGATCCAATAATGAGCTATGCAAATTGAACCACTTCTGATTTTACGAGTACATACTCGAGGGCAAATCGAGTGTCAAGTCCCGAATTGATCACCTTTTACTCTATGCTTAATAGTATTGCCATTCATCTGCTCATGGACGGACGTCAACCCGTGGTTGTGACGATTATACTGCAGATAACAGTCTGATCGAGAGGTTTAAGATGTGTCATTATGTAATTGGTTGAAAAATGAAGGCCGTGTTTAGAATTGATTACCTTTTTTCATGTTTTTTGAGAAAAAATAAAAACGTTTTCAAAATGATGTTTTGGCGCAATACAGACAAAAAATGAAAATGAAAATGATTTTTTAGTTTAGTGTAAAATGAGAGAGAAATGAAAAATTACTTTTAGTCGTTTTTCATTTTCTCCTCTATTGAGTAGAGAGATAGAAAGAGAGACATTAATAAGTTTTTTTACACTGAAAATAATCTCTTGATAAAACTATCAAACGCATTTTTAAAAATGATTTCTGTCTAAGATTGAAAACGATTTCATTTTTATTTTCATACAAAAGATAAAATCATTTTAAAATGAGTTCTAAACGCGCCCGAAAAGTTGTATTTTTACTATCTAAAATTCAAAAGAAAACAACTCTTCAAAAAACACAGGATAATTCAAAAGTGGGCGACCGTTACATGAGAAATTGAAATTAAAAAAGACAACACTTCTAAATGACGTATTTCTACTTTCTAAAATTAAAAAAAAAAAAAAAAAATACAGCGCTTTGAAAAGCGCTAGATAACCAAAAAGTTGTCAAAATTAGAAATTGAAGATTGATATGGTTTGTCTAAGGATCTTTTTGTTAATTGTCTAAGGAGATATTTGATTGGAGGATTTAATACATGATTTAAATTATGGTTTATAATTCACTATAATATTTTTTTTCACAAAAATACACGTAAATTAAAAATAATTTTAATTACATAATTCTAATCTATGAACCAAACGTCTCTTAATTATTAATCATCAGTGCACACTGCCCATTTTAAGGTTTCAAATTTTAAAAGATTATTTATTCTCATAACTTTTATATCCCTCCAATATTGTCTTGTCATATTTTTCTCATGTATAGTACTTAATTAATTAATTAGTCTTATTTGACAATGGAAAATGCTTGTGATACAATATATATTATAATAATGATTATCAAAAAATATATATATATATTATAATAATGCCTAATGCATTTCTAAAGAGCTTTGGAAAATGGACACGGGCATATAAATTGCTGCACTGATTATTCCTAACCAAGTAGAATTAGAAACAGTAACTAGCACTTTCATTGAGTAATTAATAATCTAACAAAATACCATCATGGTATAAAAATGACAAATGTTGAACCTTTTTCCAAAATAGTGGACTCCGTAGATTATCATTCTAAGCTATTTGAAAACGAAAAGAGAAAATGACTGTCAAATACCTTACATCACCGCGATTGGATAAATTCAGTGGACGTTTGGTTCATATATTTAAAATTATGATTCAAAATTATTCTCATTTTATGTGTGTTTTTTGTGAAAGAAAAACACTGTAGAGAACTATAAATCATGATTTAGAATCAAGAACGAATACAGCAAACAAACATCTCTAATTTTTTGATAATAAAATATTGAATTTAAGATTAATACATGTTCAATAGGAATAATATGTCACTGCGTAAGGGAATATACAATTGTTTTCCACCCAAAAAAAAAAAAAAAAAATCCGGGAATATACAATTGTAACATGGACAATTTATCAAGAAAACTTGAGGCCATTCACGAAGACGATGGGATTGACTTTTGATTCCTTCGTTCACAGGAAAAAATGGAAAAGAAAGAATTCCACCATCTACGACTTTTTATCCCACTATGGTTTACTTTCGGAGCAGCCAATCTTGTATTTGGCTGATTTTAGTGATTTATACGCACCAATAACTTGACTAGATATGTATTAATAATAAATTCACACATGACTACGTATAGAGTTCAAACCCCTCACTTTAAATTTTTTTTTAATAAAAATTGATTTAAGTTGTTTAATCAATGTATAGTAATTGTCACATAATGTCCATGTTGTATTCATGTGCAGTTGCATAATGACTTATGGCTCTCACATTCTCTTATCTTTTGGATTAAATTCACTTTACTCATGAAAGTTGCATTCATTGGCAATTACCTCCGTGAACATAAAAAGAAAAATTAACATTTAATCACCTAGACTTAAATTTTCACGTCTAATTGCCACCTTTCTTTAAACAACATTATCTTTTGTTAACAGAACTAATGACATGTACTGAAGTATCGGCGATCAAATAAATTTGTATAGGATTAAATGCCGAAAGGAACAAAATTTTGGGGGTAAAGTAAATTTAACCCTAATCTTTTATTGTCCAATTATGATGAGGGCTGAGAAAGAAAAAAAAAATTTACACCCCTATGTGTGGTGGGGTTAGACTTCATATCCCAATCACAATCATACACGTGGCTGGTAGCCAACAATTGAGAGGTCGCTAATTGTCATTTAACTACCGTCACGGAACGAGTCACAATAAGAACCACTTAATAGACGTTGGTTACCACTTAACTCATTGTCCAATCACCACAACTCAAAGTTGCTAGGAGAAGTTGACTAAGGGCCCGTTTAGATTGGCTTAAAAAAAATTGCTTTTAACTTATTTAGTCTAAAGACAACTTTTAAACTTGTTTGGATGGACAACTTTAAAGTGTTTTTAATTTTTTTAAGTACTTTTAGAACAAATTATCTCTTTAATGCTTATAAAAAAAAGTACTTATGAAAGTTTTTTTTATTTACATTCCTTTTATTTGTGAATAACAAATTAAATATCTCATCAATATTCTTTTATTACATTACTTTTTACAATAATAAGTGTTTTTGACTTTTTTATCCAAACTAGTTTAAAAACTCTTCTTAGATATAAAAACACTTTTTCATGTACTATCCAAACACTAATAAAAAAAAACCTCAACTTATACTCATCTTTTTCTACTACTTAAAAGTACAAAGACAAGTTATTTCAAATGGGACTTAATAAAAGTACAAGCACAAGCTATCCCAAACTGTTTGGTCCGGAGTCGACTAACTTGCTAGTCGATTATCAAGAAGCAAACCAGCGCATCTCTTACATGGTATGTGCTAGACAAATACTTGTACATTGGGGCCGGTCACCAGCCACCACCCATTCCACCAAAATTTATCTCAGAGGACGTTTGGTTTATGTATTCAAAATGATGATTCAAAACTATTTTCGTTTTATAGGTATTTTTTGTGAAAAAAAAAACTGTAAAAAATCATGAATCATAATTTAAAATCAGAGATGAATATAAGAAACAAACATCCCCTTAATGATTAGTACAAAGTACTGATTGCTCGACAGTCACCTTTGCGAGAACTTGATGGTCACCTATTGGTGTACTCAGCAATCACCCCTTAAAATACTTGACGGTCACCGATCCATGTACTCGATGCTCGAGGTCACCTCTCTTAGATAACATATGTCAATGAGACATGAAAACTCAAATTCGTTTTAAAATTAGGATTAGAATTGGTTTTACCTAACACTACTCAAAAAAATAAAAAAATAAAAAAATAAATACGGCCATTACATATTTTGCCAGTTCAAAAATACAGACTAATATGACTGATGCGAGGCCCTACCACAATTCAATTGCGGTAATTCCAGACTTTCGCCTTGCACAAGTAAAGGATGAAAGAACTTGATAGGTTAGATGAAGAACACTAACTCATAGACAAGCCATCCCCATCTACTTTCCACCCCAGAAAGATATAACCAAGAAAAAGAAAAAAAGATCAATTTCAGTCATCATGAGCTACTTATCCAACACAACATGGCACTTGTAGCAAACCACCATTTCTCAAGTCAACACCCAGTTTAAGTTAAAGCCTTAAACTTATTTCATCAGTTGACAATAATGGAATGAAACTAATACCACATCATAACAGCTAATCTGATATCTAAACTAATGAGACATAATCAAGCCAAACTAGGACTCTCGAATCCTGTTAAAAGAGTTTCCAGCCTCACTAAAGATCTAAAGAGAAGAAGAGCTGTCAGAAACCATATACTGGCCATCGCTCTCTCGGGAAAAAGAACAAAAGGCCAGAATGTAGTCTGTCCGCGAAGAAGGAAACTATCATGGTCTTCATTGAAACTGCCGGATTGCTCTTTTTAACCATTCCTACAAGTTTACCGCTTAGAAAAACTATACACAACTGACTTTGGAAGTATAGAGCCGTCACGAACATTCTCTACAGAGGCTGGTACAGATCTTAGACTCCTCTCGTTGTCAATGCCTAACTGCTTCTGGCCCCTTCAATGATTCTTCCTGAGTAATTACGCTGTACCATCTGCAGGGGCTCGTTCATTTTTATCCAAGTTCAAATTGATATTAGGCTGTGATTTGTCACCTGATGCTACTTCATCTTGTTGCTTTTCGTTTTTCTTTGAATTGAGAAAACGGCCCCCGCATCCTCTTGCTCTTCTTAATGCATGCAAATGTCGAGATTCATGCAGGTATGGCTGCCAGAGAAGTTTGAAACCAAGTCATAAAATTTGACAGTGAAAGAACCTAGGACAAATAGGCAACACTTGAAACCTGGAGAGCCCGCAGTCATCAAACAGACAAGTTGGCATGCAGACAAGATTATACCTACTGAAGCAGTAAAGATTGAAGAAAAGAGGGAAGAGATTTGAAGTTCACAACATTACACCTTTCTAGACTTGAGAGCTTTATTTTCTGATTCTGCTTTTGCACGGGATTGTCGGCGTCGTAAGATGCCATGATATTGTTTCGCATTCACAAATACGGGTTCCTCAACTGCATCTGATGGCAACGGAACTCCAGCTTGCTGTATTCCCATTAACTGAAGATGGACCTGCAAAAAGTTCATATAATAACCACAATCTTAACTCTTGTAAATTCTGAGATTTCAACTACAAGTAAACTTCCATTTCATAAGTTGGTCTAAATACATAGAATGTGGGAGAGCATACCATGGGTTGTCCACCATAAGGCTGCGGAGGATAGGGTTGTGCGTCATAGGGTGCAAAGATGCTTCTGTAGTAAGGATCTGGATATGGATAAGCTGCCGGTGCCTTCAAGAAGAGAAGGGTAGCAATTAGTTGAATTTCTCAATGTTGTGAAATATTTGCAGTTTAGTATCAATATTGATTTCTGTTTTCCAAATTCTGTGGATGTAATTGTACATATTATGGAAAGTTCAAAGATGTTCTAGAAATATGCTGCGCAGCTTCCATTACCATATTCAAAATTGACATGACCCAGAAAATACAAGCTAAAGCAGTCAAGTTTCACATTTAAACCACTGTTTGACTGTACACTGCTAAAAAGAAAATTAGAAACCAAGTATAATGTCTAGAAGACTGAAAATGCAAACAACTAGAACGTATTTCACTCTGATTGGCACTATTTCAAATGTTTGACTATTCTGCTTCCTTTAGATCTACTAAGTGAACAACGGAATGAACATCTATAAACATAGCTCATTTAGGCCTCAATGGACCACCTTCGAAGCGACATTAAAGAGCAATAAACCTAGCCACCTAATAAACCACGAGAAATAAAAAATAATAAAAAAAAAAACTGCAACAAATAGATAACACTGACAAGCAACACCTATTCGAAATGAACCGGTAACTGTGAAGTATAACATTCACTAAGAAACCTATTTATTGAGGCAATTTACAACAATAAAAAAAAAAACTGCAACAAATAGATAACACTGACAAGCAACACCTATTCGAAATGAACCGGTAACTGTGAGTATAACATTCACTAAGAAACCTATTTATTGAGGCAATTTACAACAATAAAAAAAAAAAGCAATAACCTTGAAAACGAATAGATATATTGACAACCTCCATGCAACAAGTTTGCTATTTTTAAAATCCTGAAAATCCTTTAGGAGAATAAAAAAATAGAAGCAATGAACTGGAAAATGAATAGATATATCAACGACCTCCTTGCAACAATATTGCTACTTTTAAAATCCTGAAAATCCTTTGGATGATTTTATCTCAAGTCAGCAACTTTCTCATAAGCAAATGCACGAATTTTCAACGCTTGATTCGTATAAAGTTAATTATTGTCACAGATCCCACATCTCCCAATACGCATAAATGCCCTTTCCCCTAGATTCGACTGCTATAATGAGCCACCTTAAGTATCTTCATTCCCAACTGAGCCAAGATGTCTGAACAAAAGGACCCCACTACTTAAAACAGATATCCTCTATTCCACATACCAATGACGATATAACATCCAATAGAGGGAGAAAGAGACGAGTAATAATAACCAAGTATAATACTCAAACATTAGCCTTTTGCTTTCCACTTTCAGTTTCAGGTCTCTCTCTTCTCCTTTTCTCTAGCCATTTCTCCCAAAGCTTGTCCCAATATCTCAATGTCTACCCTATGTCAATTGTCAAAAGCTTGTTTTATGATCTTTTCTTCGAGTTGCTCTCCATCCTCAAATCATGCTATTACTGGGGCCTTTTTTTATTACATATATAGATAGGTATAAACACTTAAGGCGCTCAGCCATCAGCGCGACTTTGGATCATCCTCAATCCACCAGGACTACCCAAACCTAAGAACTACCTTCACATACATGTAAAATATATATGCTTAGTTTCTTCATTCGATAACCAAAGAAAAATTGCATAATAATAGTAGCACGCTGATACGTAATGCATAATTTAGTCTAAATCCATTGCTGCAATAACCCAAAGTAGAATAACCTAATAGGAAAAAGAAAAGATGAAACTGAAGAAGCTATACATTCAAGACAGACATGTGAAGAGAAAACAATTTCTTACCTTAAAATAAGAATAATAGTAATAACAAAAACAACAACAATTGTCCAACTTAATATTGATTATATTACCCTGTAGTCCAATTTCAAAAGACAAATATCTCATGTAATGAAGTGCCAACTACCTACTTGGAAAAACACACAAATAAAGGTCAAAGAAATTAACACACTAAGAGATTCCTCAGCCAAGCGCTTCAACATATTCCAAGCCCCACACTCACAGTTCAAAAAAATGTAATGTGTAGAGACATAAGCTTCTATACCTGATAAATATATCATTTTTTTTAACAACCCAGAGAAACAACTGTTGATTTTCTTTTGTATTCAACTAAAAGCAAACTGCTTGCACGTTAACATAATACTATGAAAGGAACAATTAGGGTATGTTTGGTTGGAGGATTCAAACCATGTGATTCGAACCATTTTCGATTTACGTGAATTTTTTATGAAAGAAAATACTGTAGCGAACCATGAATCATGATTCGAATCAGGGAACGAATCCCTCTACCAAACAGAGCCTTAATGTCAACATTTCACCATATCCACACGCACCAAACAAACAACAATCTATCAATAGCTTAACCTATGGTGATCAGAACATTTAATAGATTTGCTTCCATGAGAAGAAAATCAATAAAGATAAGCAACTAGTTTCAAGATAGTACCACTGCATGCCCTGCTCCAAATTGTGGAGGGGTTGCATACTGAACATTTGGAGTTGTAATCACAGCATGAGAAATTCCAGCTGCAGGAGAAGACGACTCGAGCTGAGATTCTGAGTGTTTCTGCTGCTCATCAGTTTCACAGTTGTCTGCGCAATAAAGGTTGTAAAGAAGATGGCTAGGGAGTAAAGCCTCGGAAAAGATTTAAAAGGACAGCAGAAACTAAAAAGTTACAGCCAGAGCAACACATTGAAGTACCAAACTAAGACCTCGATTTGCTGATTTTGCCCTTTCCTAGTTCTCTTCTCGTTTTCAGAAATATGAATAAGCACACAACCACAAAGGAAGAGGACACAGTATTCCTATACTTGAATAAATTTTAGACTTCTAGTTTTGCTTTACAATAATCGCCACATCAATGTGATCACTAGTAATATCACTAATCAGATACTATCACTCCTACAACGTACACCTCTGATATAAACAGATCCACCATAGCTTTCATGGCAACCGCCACCTCCACCACCCCCTACATCTAAACCTGGTCCAATCCCTTCCCGTGCACAATTATTCACACCAAAATAGTTAACACTTCGTTTACCAATTTGGTAATGACTGAACTAGGAAAAAATCTTGCAAGAAATAAGACTGAAACCATGTCCTGATTATTAGGAATGAAGTTGGTCAGATCGCAATGAATATTGGTTTTTGCAAAAGAACCATAAGAAAATAATAAATGGCCATAATTTAACATCCCAGAGCAAATGTAACACAATTCCCATATCAAAACAGAGCATAGATTAGCATAAAATCTTCTATAAATTTTTGTAAGGCTAAATAACATCGTTCAATCACTTTTGAGAAATGATTTTGAAAAATGAGGATCCTAGCTTTTAGTATCAAGTCGAACAAGTAGTTACAAGGTACACCATACATGTAACTTTTGGGAGTAAAAACTTACCAGAAAGATCATGCACAGAAGAAGTCATGAGGCCACCACGTGCAGAATCCTCAAACCAAATCTGGCAGCAAAAACCAAAACACCATCTAGGTAGTAAGTACAGAATAACAAGATAACACAGTAATATACCACGCCCCTACAGAATGATCATAATCTGAAACAACATTCTCTATGTCCCAACATCAACTAAGAGGGGATGAACAATTAGGCGGCAAAACTGACACCCAAAAGTATGTTACCAAGAATGAAGGAAAACAATATAAAACCGTCAAAACACCAACATGAAATAATAAAAAATCTCACTTGAAATTTCAGCCACCACAAACTCAAAAATACAGAACCATATTTTGTATTTCAACCATACGCAATCAAAACATAGTTAATGGAAGTGTGTGTGCGCGTGTGCAATTCTTTTTCACTGCTTTCCTTCCCAACCTTTAATTTGTTTCTTTAACAGTATTTCCGATTTCCCAAACAGCAGAAAATTCTACAGTGTTTAAGAAATTTCCAACGCAATCGCTAAGTTTCAAACTTCAAAATCAGAAACGTCTAAGAGCCATCGGAATAAAGTGAATCCGTAAAATAAGCTTAACGCAACTAAATTATACCCATAAATTCAGTTGAATTAATACGATAAACCAAAAAATTCAGCAAACTCAGAAACGAACTCCATAAGCTAACAATTTGCATAATTGAATATCTACTCCACAAAACAAACCAGCCAATTGCTTCAAAATCTCGACAAAAAACGACAAACTCCGTTTGCTCCCCAATAACCGACACGAAATTCCAAGATTCTCGATTTCCCTCGACCTCTTCTCTCAACAACCAAACCAACTAGGGAAAATAAAAATTAAAAAAAACAAGGTTCTACTATCAAATAATGCAAACCTAATCTGAAAAATATCAATTCTTTCCGTATTTTCCTCTTCAACATTGTCAACGTCAAAATTCTCAGCGAGCTAGGGTTTCCGTACCTCCGAACTCACCGTTTTCGCGCTACTTCTTCTTCTCCTCCTCCTTTCTTCTTCTTCTCCTTCCTCTTCTTCTGTACCCAAAATTGGAATGAGAAATCTTGTTTGGTTCTCGAGGAAAAGAAAAAAACTGAAACAGAAAAAAGAAAAAAGAAAACCTTACAGGGAATTGGAATTTCTTCTTTTTTTTTTCCTTCTCTGTTTATTTTATTTTATTATTTTATTTTTTTGATACTTCCACTATCAATTCTCCACACATAAATCCCAACCCACAAACTTCCTTTCGTGTTTTTCTTTTTCGTTTATTTATTTATTTTTATAGTTTTACCCGTTTCGTTTAATTTATTAATATTTTCTAGGGCAGGAGATTTGACGGTTGAGATGGAGTGAGAGTTTCGGGCAGGGGGAATTTGCTGACCGATGGAATAATCTCGTCCACGAATTTCAGGTGGGCCCCCATGTGTGTGGTGATTGGATGGGATGAGGTGACCGATGACCGGACTTTCAAGTCCAGACCGATCGAAAAGTGTACGGGGATCAGGCTGCCCGTGGGGTCCACGTTGAGGGATATTGTTTGGGGGTTTCGGTTTCCCTTCTTCTAACTTTCATGCACAACAAAAAGGTGTCTTCATTGCTGACTTCGAGTGTTGATTGAGTACGTTTGGTTGGAGAATTTAAATTATGTGATTTGAATTATTTTTTATTTATGTAAATTTTTTATAAAAAAAAATATCATAACGAATCATGAATCATGATTTAAATCAGAAAATGAATCCCTCTAACACCAGTGTTTTACCGTTTGATGCGGTAAGAATAGTTTTATACGGCCCCTTGTAAATTTGTAAATTTTTAGAGAAATTTAGGTGAATGTCCTCCATGAAAGTTAGCTTTAAGAAAATGCCTCTCGTCTAATTCACTCACCATTTTTTTTTGTTTATTTAAAATATTGATGTGGCAAGGAGAATTATTAGGACCCATTTAGTTCGCTGATTTAAGTTTTTAATTTGAGTTGAGATGTGACTTTATGTAAAAGTATTTTACTGTAATAAAAAAATTAAATGTGACTGTTTATGAGAGTTTTTTACTATAACAAAATTTGAATTGGTGAAATGAATAAAGTCTAATTTACCCTCGTTGCTAACAATTCTTAATCCATTTAGGACAAATTTTCCCCTTTTTTTTTTTCGTTTTCTCCATCTCTATACGCACAAGGGATCTCAATTCTACCCATCTCTACCGTCAGCCATCACTGCCACAGCGCCCACTCCCGCCGGCCACTACCTCCGCGACCCTGGTACCACCCACGGCCACTCACGGACAAGGACGGGTTTCACGTCAAGTGAGGGTTTTTTCTTATTTTATGAAATTTGTTGGTGCTTCAATGGCATTGCTTCTTTCGATTGGACTTTGGTTTCGACAGTTACCTTGGTTGATTATAATCCATACGTTTTTTCTTAGAGAAAGTTGCTTCGAGTATTTTGATTTTCAAACATAACACAGACTTGTATTGGACAAGCTTAAATATAAATTTTTCTTATAAATTATGAGAAATTTTCTTGTTGACGGCTGAGTATAGTAGAAGTAAGTTTAATTTCTAATTCCCTCGTATTTTGATGTTTGACTACTTAAGAAACATGGACTGACTTTCTGCCAATTTAAAGTACCAATTGTCAAGATTGTCCTTGGTGCTCATCTCTGGTGCTCCAAGCTCATAATAGTAATTGTATGCATTCAGAATGCGTACACGTCTGATCAACGTTTCTTAATACGTCACCTGCAATAGAAGTAGGAAAATGAGGGCAGAATTTCTTTTTGATCTTTTTCTTTCTTTTGTGAGCCGAGCTTCTCTCTTTTATTGACCATATATATTGACTTGGTTTAGTAGTACTTTGTGTTAAAAAAAATAGTTGTTAAAAAAAATAATTGAGTGTTTGATAAATTATAATTATATTAACTGTGTTAGTTTAAAAATCAGTGTAATAACGTTTGGTAAATTGTGATGTTGAATTATTGTGAATAGTTAAAATTATCAAAATAGACATGGTATGAAACTTAAATAATAAAAAATACATAATGCTATGGTTTTGAGTTTTCTAACAATAAATTTATAATAATTAATTCTTTTTTTTTTCATTTCTTCATTAACAATATAGTTACAATAAAAAAGAGCATTAGTGAGTAATCAACATATACAACAAAAATGTACATTCCATGTTCCAACCTAGTCCATTTTCTTTTCCAATAAGTTCCTTCCAAAACTTCCAATCATTCTTCAAAGCATCTCACTTATTCTTCAATTGTTGTCTTTTATATATTCATTTTGTTGCTTCATTAAATTTCCGAATTTAATTATGAGTTCCAAGACGACATCCATCTTCCACCTCTTTGATACATAAATCACAAAATAAATCCAGTCTCGGGGTCTTATATTGATTTGCCTTGTGGTATACTATCCTCCATTTGATATATGATAACTGAAAGTCTAGAAGAATGTGAGGCTTCATGCTTTACTTTACATAAATAATAATAAGAACACTAAAAACCATTTTGTGTGTGTGTGTGTGTGTGGGG